TTACTGCTGACTTCAAAATCCATGCAAACTTCTCATGTTCTGAGTTAATCTTTCATTTTCAGTATGTTGTCTGTCATTTCCCTCTTTCTACCTCTCTGATTTCAAGCCTCATATGATCTAAAAGACTTCAATAAGTTAGCTTAGCAAGTCAATACCTTGCTATTACTCTTAATTTACCTTAAATTTCTTCCTGTTCCTCCTTGTAGGTCTAGTAGGGAGGGGAAAAAATAGCTTTAGCATGTGGCCTTAAATACTTCCCAGCTGAAAAAATACAGTTAAGCAGCATGAGGCTGATGGGCTGATGTACAAACTGATGATCCACACCAGTTGCCCTGCAGCCAAATAACATCCTCTGGCCCGTACACACAGCAGCTGATTTTATCCTGGATGTTCTAGTTTCTCTTTTTTCCTGCATTTCTGATCTCTCAGTCCAGAGCTCTAATGTTAATTCAGGCTCTCTTAGACCATTAACTGAATGATGCAGCACCATGATTCCTGGCTTATAGAATCCTGTTTTTTTATTTCTCTGCAGCTGATAGCTCCTCATTATTTACCTTGCCCTTTCCTTAATGATGTCCTTCTCCATGAACATCATTCAAAACAGACAATATAACGATTTAAACTGCTTCTGTGGGTTTAGTAGCTTGTTTTTTGTTATTGTTCGTATCTAAACAGCCCTTTCTAACAAAATGTGTTTGAAATTAGGGTCTTTTGAAAGATCTTTAACTCAGAAAAGCTGCTTAAAATGAAAGTTAATAGCTAGTATTTTTGTGTGCACTAGTAGCAATACTACACTGGCTAAGTTTTCCTTTGGTATTGTTTTCTTTTTTTTTCCCCTGTTTTCACTTTGGTTTTGGTATTTGGGGAATTTGAAGAAAAATTAAATTTAAAAGAGGCAGAAATTTTGGAGTTTTTTAGCTTGCTTTCCTAAATGCTAAAGAGTTATTATATTTTTAGATACTGGAAAAAGTGTCAAAATGCAAGAGAGCTCATGGGAATTAACAGAGAATTCAAATCTATTGGAAGTTAATGTACAGACAGAGAAAACTCCAACTCTCTATACCTCTTATAATACTGAACAACTTGTAAGATGTCTGTATATGAAGTCCATAAGAGTAAAGTTAGATGTTCATAATTTGCAACTAAAATAAAGCGAGAGAAGAAGAGAAAGTGTATGTTCTTTAAAGAGCAGATGGCCCAACTCTGCTCTCAAATGTCTTCGAATTAGAAATAACTGTAATTATTGTCATTTAAGTGATGTAAAAGAGAGAGGATAAAATAATTCCCTGGAGATTCTTTGGACCAATACAGGATAAAAATGACATAGCTATTCAAAACATGTAGTTTAATTATGATGAACAAAAATATTTCCATACATTTTTTAAACTATTGTTTGGACAGCAGTAATTTGCAGCTGGTGGCCTACAAAACCTCCTGGATCTGTGGGGCAGTTCTAAAAGGTCTCTGAAATGTATATCAGAAAAGCAAACATATTTCAGCAGCCTAAATTCATAAGGATGTAGGCACATCTGAAAGTGTTGAACATAATCACAAAGTGGAAGCAATACTATTTCCCACTTCTACCTATCAACAAGAGAAAATGTCCAGCCTGCCTGTTAGCTGAACTGCTCGATCTCAAATCAGAGCTATGTACTGAATCTTAATCAACTTGAGAAGTGGAAACTTAAATGGAAGTCATTTGAACTTAGAGCTGAGTCTCCTAGGGGTTTTCAAGGATCTTTTTTATGGTGATGCCCTGGCTGTCAGAGTTTAAATGCTCTAGAGGCTCAATAGCTGTGATATTTATTAACCAAGTGGTTATGATCAGAACTTTCTCACTCAGACTTGCTTGGTATCAGCTGACATATGGTATCATGTTTGAAATACCACTCAGTAAATCACTGATAATGTCAATGTAATTGCTGAAAGCTAACACAGGGTATAATTCTTTTCCCATTGAAGTTGATGGCAAGAGTCTTATTGATGGCAATGGTACATGACTGAATCTGCTAACCAGAAAAGTCTTTCCCTTTTCCTAATTGCACAGAAAGAATCAATAATTTTTTAAAAACCTGATTTTTAAGCAAGCTTACATTTATAAATAGTAGCATGTGAAAAATTTCATGATGGACTTTTTTGGTAGATAATGTTGCTGTGACTATTTCAATATGTTTTATTTGTGAGTCAGATGCTAATATATTCATAAGTAGATGAATATATGAATGTAAGAGCTCTGCATATATCTCTGCTCCATCTGTTATTTTTTACCCTAAATTTAAATACTCTGTTTAGTGCTAGCATTGTTATTAGCTTTTAATCAATTTTCTCCATATAATAATTAGATGGTGTCCATGGAAGAATTTTTTTCTGCTATTTGGGTTTAATTTTTAACTGGTCATTTTCTCACAAAAATGCTAAATTGCCAAAAATAAAATCTTCCTGTAAAAACACATTTCTCCAACCCAAAATTTTCCATGACAGGGACTTCTCATGTTCTGGGCAGATTGTCTGGTGGAGAGACACTGCCACCACCAAGATGTGAGAGATTCAGAGTCAGCTCTCCATTCCATCTGATTTGGAACAGAGTCTTAACTCGGCCTCCTGCACCCAGGAGATTCCAGGATGCAATCTCAGGCTCTCTCTAGCCAAACGCATGTGACAAGTCTGTTTTCTGGGTGATCAGATTTCCTGCAAATTTATTTCTCTGTCTTGTGTGTTTGCCTAGAATGCTTAGAAAGGTCTTTGTTCCAATGTTGGGCAACATTCAAAACCCCAAAGAGTTTAATAATTACAATGTGTTTGCAGCCCCTGACCAAAACCAGCCATTGTAAGCAGGGGTTACTTGATTGCTGAGGGTTTCTGCAGTTATACTTCAGAATTACCATTTTCACTATCACTTACCATATTTGGTTCTCTTAATAAAATGTGGACATTAAAATGTATTTTAAACTTGAATTTTACAAACTCCAATTTATTGGAAATTCCTTTGTATTTGCCAGCTAGCTTTTGTGAAAATTTCGAATGTTTAGGTGCATTTCAACACCTTCATAAAATTGACGTTTGTCTATTACTGACATTTTTGACAAGTCTGAAAATGAATTTCATTTGGTAAAGATTTTATAAGCTAGGATGGCAGTGCACAGATGAAGGATAGGTAAAGTGGAGGAATAACTAGCAGAATAACTGTGGTTTGATTACATCAAATGTCATGTCTTGTCTTGTTATGTCTGTTCCATGATTTTATTTCTTTCACATTTTTTCCTTTTAATTGTCTATCTGATCATCCTATCTACTTTATTACTCCAATGTGGGAGATGCTTTTTATCTTTTAAGAAAGGCGGCTGCTGTAGGAGGGAATTATGGCAGCAAAAGTAACGTCCATTGAAAATCAAGAACTTTTCCTTCGCACTATCATTGCAGTCAAAGTTTAGTGCAAACAGCTCTGCAGATAAGCTATATATGTAATTTCAGTTTTATTTTTCTCTTTCTCTGAAAGCTATCCAAATAATGTGTATGTGGACTTATAGACAGCAGGGTTATTACTGTGTTTGCCTGATGCTTTCGAACTTCAATGTGGCATTTGACTCTTTCAGCTGTCAGATATAATTGTACTCTTTTTCTTATTTTGTAAAATTTATTGCTTTGATCTCTGGTATCTTCAGTGTCATGTGGTATCCCTCAGGGACATATTCTGGGTTCTATAGTGTTTCTTTGTTATATGTATATTGTTTGGTATTACTTGTATTCACAGGCCAAACTGTCAGACAAATAGACCTTAGCTGTATTTATCACGCCTTGAAGACCTTGTAATAGCATCTACAGTGTTGCTTGATTGTCTTTCCATTATCAAGGTTTGGATAGTACTAATTTTCTTAAGTGTAATGTTGGAAGGATGGTATGTAAGTGGAATAATGTCAGCTGAAAGTGGAGCCTCTTGGGTTTTAGCGATTCCTCTTTCCAGGCTTTGCAGTGTCTCAACTTTGGCTGAGATTCTAGGCCATTTTGAACAGCCATTGCAATCTAGGAGAAATGGATGCCTGTTTTAAATACAGGATATTCTTCTCATGCAGTAACAGGAAGTGCAAAATGCTTACCTCGGGTCATTTACTTCTTCAGACTCTTTCCGCAGTGGAAGAGTCCAGGATCCCATAATCTACCACTTCTAGATAGTGTCCTCAGGCCTTTGGTCTTTAAGGGTAACTCACCCTCAGAAAAACATCAGTAACAACTAAAGCTCAGACGAAAGCATAGTTTTGGGGAGAAGGGGAAGGAAATATGTGTAATGCTTCCTCAGAATCCTTCCCTTAGCTAAATTCTAGCTCAGCCAGAAAACTTTGAAGGTATTAGGAAGGTACTCATGTCATCTGCTCAAACATCCTTGAGTAGCAAGAGGCTTCTTTTCTTCAGGTGGTGACTGATAGGTAAGCTACATTTAGCTTTATTCACAGGCAGTAGCTGAAATTGGCGGCTGTGCTGTGCTTGAGGCAGTTTCTTGGGATCTGGGGGAGGAGGTGGAGACTGTATCACATCAGGTTTACCATCTGTGTTTGAGGAACATCTTCATACCCATGGTAACTATTTTTGCTCTTCCTGACATCTGTCTACCTGAACTCTAAAATTCTTCAGCATGGCCTTTTTACCCTGAAACTAGTGGCTCCCAAATAATTCGGATCAATGGAGTTCTGCCAGTCTTCAACACTTTACAGAAACTGCTGTGTACTCTTCTCAGCAGAATTTGAATTGCCACTACTGTTCATTTATTACTTAACAAGGTTTTGCAGATTTACTACATGTGCTACAAGAGAGATTGGAGCACAGCAGAGTGGTGATGTAAGAGGAAAGAGGGTGGCAGACTTATTTTACGCTTTTCCCTTACATGTGTACCTATAGACACACGTACGTATACATATGCAACTGATCACTCTTACCTCTGCTGAAAAAGTCATGGATTTTCTTCAGCTTTGCAGAAAAAAATGGACTAACAAACATGCCATTTTCAGACTTTCAAGCTTTCCTCGTGAACCTAAGAATAAGTGGTGATTCATTGCTTTAGATATGGCTGTAGGCACTTTTGTTGCCTTGATACTGAATTCCTTCCTCCTAAAGAATCAGAATAAAAGGTCAGGACTTCTTCTGTAGTTGGGTTGTTGTTTTGGGGGTGGTGTTGGTTGTGTTTTTTTGTTTTGGTTGTTTTTTCTTTTGTGTGTGTGTTTTGGTTTTTTGTTTTTACTTTTAAGGATCTTCAATTATGTTGTAAAAGAAAAAAAAAGATTTAGTGTATCTGAGACGTCTGTTTTCAGAAATTTTTGGGCTTGTACTTTTGGCTTTTTGGGCTTCCTTTCTTAAAAATACATTTTTGCATATTTGTATTAGGGATATTGAATGAATTAATGCTGAAAAGGAAGTCTGAATTTTGCAGAATAATTAGACTCAGTTATGACTTGTTAACAGTCCAAGTATCTGAAACAATATTGCTAAATAACTCACAATGTTAAAATCAAAATTTGCTTTTAATTCATATTTGAATATGCACAGTGGTGATGGGTACAGAACAAAGCAAAAAATGAAAAGGAAGCCTTTTTCCTTATCCTATGCACTACAGCCAAGAAAAGGTGACTACTGAAGGTCATTATTTTTAATTATCTCTAAAAAGATTAAACTACAGAATGTTGAAAGAACAGCCAGCCTTACTGAGCACTGGTCTTGGAGTAGAGAGAGCTTCTTTCTATTCCTGTGTTGCTAACTTCTTTTATGTTACTCATTTATGCCTCTGGGTTTCCTTGTTTCCTCAGAGCATATGAGGTTGACAGCAGAGACCTGTTCACTTTTACTGTGCGCAGTTATCCATGCTTTACAAAAAAAGCAAATAAATAGTTCAGCTCGTACTTCACAATATACTGTTATGGTAAGTTTTTTCAGTTTAGGAACAGGGGGATAGTTAGCTTTGCATGTGCTTTTAAAGGTCCTAGTGAACTATGGTTCTAGTTCATGACAAATCTTCCAGTTGATATACCAATGCAAATAATAATAATTATTTTTTTCTGTTTCTATGTTTTCTGAACATAGCTAAGTTCATAGAAAATACGTAGTCAGCCTGAGATCACTTTCACCCTGTAACCCTAGGAAAATGTTTATGTTAAACTCTTTCATTGTATGTGTGCGTGTTTGTGCATGCATGTGAAGTGAGCATAACATAACAATAGAAGAATGAAGTTTAGGATAGAGGACTGCAAAACATTTTTTAGAAATAATGTCCTCTTAAAACCTGTGTTTGCTTCAGTTTTAGAAGGAAAAGAAAAATATTATAAAGGGAAAACTGCAAATGACTGAAAACCAGCCAGATGGAGTGGGAAGAAAAGAGTTGAAGGCCATAGGACACAGACTGTGTTCTGAGCCAAAAGCATTATAGAAGATAAAACAAAAGGTAGGCAAAAATCAGGCCCTGGCCATCAAAGGAAAAATATCGGAGACAAGATGGCACGAGGATACAGCTACTGAGGTAAGATTTTGGTGCAGTTCCAGAGGGGACATTTTCCAGATCTTGTGTCTTTAGTCTGTGGAAAGACTTAGAACAGAAGGAAGGATCACATAAAAAAATGCAACTGCACAATTGCACTAGACTGTCACCAAATAAACTTTTTTTTTTCTTCTTTTTTTAATTCCACATTTTTCTTGACCTTTTACACAGGAAAAGAGTTTTTCATATTTTACCCCAGTAAATCCTGCCTAAGATATTTTTAGCTAAACATTATGTTCAGGAGGACGGTAGGGAGGGAGGCCTGGGGTGCAAAAGGACGGTGACCTGAGAAGCTATGAGGTACGTATATGCTGCAATCCTTGCAGTGCAAACATTAGCTGCAACATCAAGTGAGGTCACCTTGGAAAAGGTGACCACAGATTGGCCACAGATTGGCCATGAGAGAGGCTGGGGGGACTCTGATGAAGGGCTGGTAACAACTTCCTGTGGTTTCAAATATACTGAGCATCACCCGTAAGACAGATCAGCGTGCATTTAGTCTTAAAGATCCCCCTCTCCACCTCCTTCAAATCCATAGTACTTTCTGGACCTTGTATGTCTGCAGTTACTCTTAGTCTATGCTGCCCTCTTCAGCTCAGTCTCACAGCCGCAACGGCTGCCTTTGTATTTACAGTTGATTGTTGTTTAGATGGTATCATATTTGCTTCATATAGTTTAATATAAGAAGCACTTAGAGATGAATGAACTATTTAGGATGATGCTTAATATGAAGCTGGCATGTAGCGCAACAACTTTTCAGCTCTTATAGCAATTTATTCATACATAGTGAACAAGTGAAGATTTATGCTAAAATGAGGAATTCTCAGAAATATTGTATTAATAACTTTACCGTTCATAAGGTAAAAGGTAGGTGATGTGTTTTTTTTATCCTGATGTTTATCTGCTTTGAAAGAAATGGAAAACATGAAGGCATCAAGTACATTGAACTGTTAGCACAGAACAACTCTTTATTGTACTTATACCAGCATATTGTCCAATCTAACTTTGAATGTGCTTGCTGACAAGCTTTCTATCATTTATAGCCCAGATATTAATGGATCACTCTGTAAGAACACTTTTCTGTATCTTCTTGTTAATCTGGTTATTTCCCTTGTTGCTAAGTTTTAACTTGTTCAAATATTTAGGGGTTGCTATTGTGTTCTATAGCCTTAGCCAAGCTTAGGCATACTTAACTCTGATATTTTTTAAATCATTTCTTGCATGTTCTTAAATGTTTTCCATGCTTCTCTTAGAGTACGCTGCATGTATCGGTGATGAGGTACCCAGGTATGAACACAGCATTCTGCAATGACAAGAGCAGTGCAGTTCTCTTCCCACTGAAGACTGCCTGTCCGTATGAAATCAAACTTTATGCACCCTCCCACACTATTTGTTGTCTACAGTTTTTTATATTTTTTAAATTTAATTGAGACAATGAGTCTTCCTCCTTCCAGTCATTATTTAAATGACCATAGCACTGAATGCCTTCATAGTGCTGACTGCCTTCTCACAAGAAGCTATTCAACAGCCAAGTTACTGTCTAGCATTGCTTCCCATGTGTCAGTTAGCCAGTTTCCATTACACTGGGCAGTTTTACTGTCTGGAATAAAAGGTCCTAGTGTATCAATTTTCTTTCATTCTCTTCAGCAAGTCATTCTGGAGTACTAGAAAACAAGACATCCAGTTCATTTTTCAAAATGCATATTCTGTAAAAACCTGTGCACGTTATTGCTCCTGTGTCATGGTCTTCTACTGATATATGATTCAGCTAAAACTAATTGAAATAAATTAACTCAGGAACAATTGGAGTGTGTTTATATACTCCCGCTGCTGGGTTGTTTTGGTTTTGTTGGTTTGGGGCTTTTTTTTTTTTTGTCTTTCTTTTTTTCCCCAAGAGTAACTTTTCACTCTGCACAGTTTAATCATGTCCCCTCAAAAATCTTTGGTTGGCTTCTGTCAGATCTTTCACTGTTGAAGAGATGTCTAATGCAAGCTAAACCTTGCTGCTTTATCCCAGCTAGGCATTTTCACTCAGGGCATGGCACCACGAGATCCTGAGCTTTCTGGAGACTGGACTTAATTTTGTCTCTGGTGGGACTGCTCTCCTAAGCTGAAGTTAAGCGTTTTCTTAAGCTCTTTTGCAAAGCCTGAATATCACAAGGGCGGTAAATGAAAAGTGCTTAATGCTGCAGTTTGCTTGTGCTTGCAAGGTGTTCCAGTGCCTCCGCTGAAGTACTGCATACTCCCACCCATTTCAGCTCGTACTGATCGCTTCTTTGAATTCAGTAAGGTAGCATATGTGCCAAGTTGAACAGTGATTGATCCTCAGAGTGTTCCAGCTCTTCTTCACTGGACAGCAAGTTTCTTCCAGTATTTTTTTTTCAGTTTTTGTTGCTATTTTTAATAACTTTTCAGAAGGAAGGGGCTGGCTCATGTTTCAGATGTGATCATTTCATGGAGGCTGAGTAGCAGACCGGGATGGATGATGCTAGAAGGTGGCTGTTTGTTCAGACTGTGCTGCTGTTTTCAGGGCCAAGCAAAGGAATCGGAATCTGGAGTTTTGTGCAGCTTTCTAAATCACCTTTCCAGCACTGAAAATCTCAGCCAAGGTCCTTTAGTGGTGGTTATTTTTTGCATGTATTTAGTTAGCAGAAAATGAGACTTTCAGTGCAGATAAAACCCCATTCTTTTAAAACCCAATGCTTTTTGTTGTATTTATTCATTTATCAATGCTGTGAAAGTCTCATGAGCTCCAGCCATTGATTTCAGGAGCCAATGCTATTTTTCCTGTTTATTATAATTTATTGTCTCATTGTTGCCAGTAGTTTGCACTTAGTTGAGTTTCCCACACAATATACAGGAAACATCTCTATAGCATCAAGCTTCCTCAGATTGATTCCCACAGGGGCTGGGAGGGACAAGTCCCTCCCAGGCACTTTGTGATGTGGCTGTGGAGAGTCATGTTAAATCCACCATTTGGAGACTTCCTTCCTTCCATGTACGGTAGCACACACGGTAGCCAAATTATGTCAGATCTCACTACATACTCTCCCACTATACAGGCTCCCACGCAGCCTTTGGGAAAATTTTACCTGTCTGTGTGCTTTCATAATTCTGTTGCTTTCTTTTCATGCAGTTAACACTTTTACTGCCAGTCTCCAGTGAGAATGTACGTCTCCAAGGGCGTCTGTTTGTATTGGAGCAAAGCTAATGAAATTATTCAGTTAGGATAGGATATTTATGTCAATTTACCTTTCCTCACTGTTGATTAACTGATGACTTGCAAATGTTGACCGATGTATTAAGCTGTCTAGGTGGAGGTGCTGTGGTAGTAAAGATGGGCAGTATGCTTATGTTCCTTTGAAAACACCCCTTAAATAATACCTGCAAGAGTCTCCTGGGAAAGCTGGGAAATTAAATGAACATTGTGTCTGCCTCATGAGCAATACTTCCCTAGTAACAAACAATGACTTCAAGGGTTTAGAACAGAGACAACTTTATTAGAAGTGGGGGAGCAGCAGAGGGAAAGTTGAATATAGAATTAACTTCACAAAGTCAGTGATTCATAAATCAATTCTATCAAACTATGTCATCACCCTTTCCTGCTGCCTTCCCTCTTCACTCCCTTCTGCAGCTCTCCCTCTGCCTCACCTCCTCCAGGATATGCTGCACAATAGTTGTGAGCCTACCCACCTCCCTTGGTCCAGGTGGTTAGTCACCATTCTACCTCAGAATGTATTGCTCATGGGTTTTGTTTTTTGGGTTTTTTTTTTGTTTTTTTGTTTTTTTTTGGTTTGTCAAGGTTGACTGAATCTGTTTTGGGCAGGTTCTAGTTCTTGACCTTACAAGGTCACACTGTGTGTGAGGGCTTTGCCATTTCTAATGCATGCTGATTCCATCTCAGATGCTGGGAAAGCTGCTGTTGGTAGCCCCAGTTTGAGGACCCCCAGTTCTGCCTAACACACTGCCAGCATTTAAACACAGGAAAACACCTTTTTACCATGAAGGTGATCAAACACAGGTTGCCCAGAGAGACTGGGGAGTCTCCATCCATGGAAATATTAAAGTCTGACTGGAGATTGCCCTGAACAACTCTGAGCAGGTGGGTTGGACTACACAATCTCTAGAGTTTGCTTCCCATCTCTACCATGCTGTGATTCTGTAAGTAGTATGGTGCTTTCATTTGTCAGCCAAGATAGTTGCAATAGCAGTGCCAGCGCAACAAATGCTATTTTATATAAATCAAGAAAGTATTAAAAGTTCAGTAGTGGGTTCCTTTTAAAAGAAATTGCCAGAAGAATATATCTGGAAATATTTTGAGACTTTAAGTGTTTATGTGGGTAACACAAACTTTGGCAAAGTTTATGGTCAAATGCCATAAATTAAGCTGTTAAACTGTAATGTTCATGCCAGACTCATGACTGCTCAATACAAATTATTTCTAAATGAAAGTTAACTGATTTTTTTTGATTTGCTAATAATTCCCTGCTGCCAAAACCCAACATTGCACAGCTTTCCATTTTCCTGTTTCTGCTCCTATAGAAGTCAGACTATTGTTTTGTCTAATATATGACTCTCATGACAAGAACACCATAATAATAGGTAGGTCTCCCTCAATAAAAAGCCATGTGTTTAGTTAGATCATGCTCAGCCTGACAAAGACATTGCTTTCTAAATTCTCATTTCAAAGCACAGCAAGGACAAACCATCTGGCTTCAGGCTGCCTCATGTGTCAGAATTAATTTTAACTGACCATACTAGAGAAAGAAATTTAATTGGCCTATTTTTTTATATATATGTTTGTTTGTTCATTTGCATACATTTGCATGTGTGTTTTAAATCAAGCTCAGCTAATTCTCTGTTTGTCTAGCAACCTTTAGGAGTGGTTGCATTTCTTCTCTTTTTTAGGAAGTATAGTGAAAATCTATATCATGGGAAGATTATCAGCTCAAGAAATAGAAAGCTGGATGAGTTTTTTTTTTCCTCCCAGAACCTTCTGGAGATTTACAGATATATTGACCAAGGTGGCTGGTGCTCAATCAGTGCTTTCTGTCTTGGCATCTAGTTTGCTCTTTTTATCCTCTGGCAGTTACCTCCTGCTCAGAGATGCTGCTAAGCATCTCTAGAAACATGCTTTTTTTTTTTTTTTTTCTGACTGTCCTTCTGTCTGTTCTTCTGCTGAGCTTTGTCACTATGTTTCTTTTCTTTCCTCCTACCCTCTCTTTTAACTTATAATCTTGTCCTGGTAAGCTTAGAATGATGAAACATGCAAAGTGACTCTGCTTCCTTGTCTTTCTTCTTGATTCTTTTCAGACAGAACCTTCTCTAATTGCCTGGCTGTGTTTATGGGATCTCCAGCAAGATTATTACCTGTTACTAATCATAAGGGTAATGACTATAAAGTCATCCCTATAAAACCCCTATATATCCTGAAAATGTATAGAAAATTTGGAATATCTGGAATCCAAAACACTCGGTTGCACACTTTTTTCCCTGTAAGTCCCGTTAAGTTCACAGAATGCTTTTCTTTACTTTACAGGGCTGAGATGACCACATGAAATTGCTCAGATGCCTGAGGCAACAGACTGAGTTGTCTGGAATGATAATGATTATTCAAATTATTATGATCCAAATGACACAGAATTTTTCCTTGCTATATCTTGAAAAATTGCTAGGCAGTAACACCTCTGCTGTCTGTGGTTCTGTGGTTAGACAGGTTTGGATATCCATGTAGGTAAGCTGTATAGATCAACAGTGCCAATAAGGCATATCAGGGGTAGGTGTCTAAGTTACAGTGCCTTTAGTGCAGTTTTCAAGATTGTTACTGTAACTGTTTTTTTTTTTTTTAAATTTCTATTGTACTTCATTGTCCTTATCTTACAAGTTCATGCTTGTATTGTGAAAATTCAGAATATACAATCTGTTTGCAATCAGTTGTTGCCAATTTAGTTGAACTAATTTTATTTTGTCTAAGTGTTTGTCCTGAGCCATGCACAGACCAGGACCACGCTGATAGCTTGTTTAGCTTACAGACTTTATAGTTGCATGCTTATATTTTAGGTGGGATAAAATATGATTTATACTGAAAACCTCTCCAATGGCATACCCCTGCATCCCTGAACTCCCTGATTATGCTATGAGGAAATTTCCATCTAGGTTGGAGATATGAAATTTTTGGTGACTTCTGCTAAACAGATTAGACTTCGAAAGTAACAGTACTATAACAAGGAAATTATGAAAGGCAGAACTCCTGTTTTTTATATTTCTAGACCTTAGTACATTTAGCCTTTCTTTA